AGAGCAAAGAGGGACGGCCGCCGCATGGAAGGGGCGCTGAACCATCCCGGATGGTGGCTCCCCTGCCTGTCTTCCACTCTCGTCCCCTTTGCGACGCCGCACGCCCCAGGGGCGGAGGAGGCGCTCTTACAGTCCATGCGCATGCGACACCCATGGCCCCCGATGACACGAACACACCCTTGAAACTTCTACCACATGAGTCATGACACAGATCCACAACTCACACACAACCCCCCTTCACTTCTTTTGCCAATATCAAATGGCGACATAGTTACGCAATTGATCTCCAGAGGAGGGCCTGGCACTGTCGACGAGGGCGATGACATCGCCAGAGCCGTCCGCAGCCGCCCCCGAGACGGCGCAGCAGAGAGTCTCGCCGTCGTCTTGGGCGGCGTCCGAGGCGAGCGGAGGGGCGGCGACCGAGCCCCAGCCGCCGTGCAGCCGCATGTCGATGGGCTCGACGTGCGACGCGGCGACCGAATAAATAAATAAATACAACGGACATCCCAAGCTAGGGCTGGGTCGAGGACAGACACGTCCCCACCTTTGCAGGATTTTGCAAAAGCGAGGGGGGAGGGCGCATCGCCGCGCGGAGAGGGCTGGGCACAGGGCACAGGGGATCTCTCTCGCATAGGATACGCACTCGGCGGCACGAGGGCAAGGCTGGGCGTCCTATGTTTGTGCTCCCCCCCGGACCCCTCGCTCTCGGGCACTAACCATCTGACCACTCATCGACGGGGCTTGGCGAGCGGCCGCGCTGCGGGGCAGGGCTGGTGAGAATGGGCTCTGGCCACTCGCCCGTGCGGTTGTAACCCCGCATCTGTCGGACAGAGGCCTCGACCGCCCCTCGCGGCAAGCTCTCGAGCATCTCGAGCAGCTCGCCCGCCGCCATCGCCGCCTCGAACTGCTCCCTCATGCCGAGCGCGCCGCATACCCTGCGGACCGCCTCCTGCTGCACCTCGTCCGGCGTATCGGTTTCATAGCCGGACGAGTCAGCGGAGGCGGCCCGCTTGGCGGGCGGAGAGTCGGGCGACGGCGAGCGCGACTGGCGCGAGGGCCCGCTGCCGCGCGCGGACAGCGCGTTCTTGTCAACGAGACGGGGTCCAGCATCGGCACGGCC